AAAGCCGTATTTCGTTTTGGAAATATCGATTCCTAAATAATTTGAACTATTTTGCGTGAAGAATCGTGCGTTTGCGTTAGCAATCGTGTAAGATCGTGTAACGTGTAGAATCGTGAAGGTGAAGGATCTTTCGTGTATCAGGTTTAATCGTGCGTTAATCGTGCGGAATCGTGCGTGTAACGTGATCGTTCGTGTAAGTTGTCAACAATAACGTTCCAGCCACTGTACAAGGAAGTTTTTGATATGCAAGAACAATAACGTCATGTTTCTGCATGTACCAAGTCTTCAGTTTCAGAGAGTAGTGGTATGGATTCAGAAAACCACAGTGTGGTGATCTGGAAAGTTTGAATGTCACCTGATTGCTTAAAATCAACATTAAAATTAGGCTTGAGTATCACAAGCTTCCTAACGATACGATACATAACATGATATGGTCATGTGATACAACACGTATTGTGATACACTAGGTATCATTAACAGTTAAATTAACTGATATGCTTATATTCTTGCTCACTAACCCCCAGTTATAGAAAATATGAAAAATATCTTACCTAACCAAAGTTATTTATAGGCCAACTTATAGTCTTAACATTGTATTTTTTTATGCTACCTTGTTTTCAATCATTTTGTAGCTTTAAAAGTTCTCAGTTTGCATGTAGAATTTTTTAATAAGGCAATGAAAATTAACTTGTACTGTATCACGATACATACATGACAATACGATATACGTATCGTGAGGCTTTGCGATCTGGACGATTTCTAAATATGGAAGTCAAGAACGATAACCGAAAGTTGCTATAAATGTACATCAAGTACACATAATTATTTTCCTGTCCAATCAGACAACAGCATTTTTACACACCCCAAAACATATTTTAAAAGAACAAAAAGATAACACGTGCTTTTGTTTTTTTCCTCAAAAAGATTTTTTTAACAAAAAATCTGTAGAAGTAAGATGAAAACTTTTGAAGAATAAGGTATTCCCCACATTTTTACCGTGAACAACCTTGGCATTTTTATCTCGGTAAAGAAAAAAAATTATGCGCGATAGAATGTAATCGTTTACACAGGTATAGATTGCACCAGCAAGTTTTTATCAAGTTCAATTATAACATTTACCAGAATATAATATATGATGGTAAATATAATTTTGCTTAGCCGTCCGATTTTCATCGATAATGCTTAAATTCCATGTGTATAGATCAACTCACACAAGTGTTTATCGTATGGAGTTTACACATATAGTTTTGCATTATCACGGGTTTCATGAGCGCCGAATACTGAGCTATGCAGACTTTAAATGGGCACAAGGAAAGGCGTTTAACGTGGAGAAAACAGAATCCTGTAATTATGCATGAATGCGTTCTATCCCAATATCTTACCTCGCATATCAGAAACTGCATGGACTACTAGTATTCTGTAATAAACACTCAAAAATAATAAAGACTGTTATCTTTTCGATAAGATTTTTATGTCAGGCTCTAAAAACTGAAAATTTATATAAATATTTATATTTATATAAATTTTTTAACGTAAGTAAATATAAATTAAGTAAATATAAATAAATATAAATATAAAATATAAATTTTTTAACGTAAGTAAAATTTTGGGATTGCTAACTCCTAGAGACAGATTTTTTTTATCCCACATAAAAGACGTATTCCAAGCTTTCAAGTCGTGTTTGTTCACGGTAGAATTGTCATAAATATTATATTATTCCCAAATGCGCATAAAGTTTACAAAAAGTTTGTTCTAAAAGAATCTTTTGAGCATAAAACTTAAAAACCACGTGTTTTATTTATTCTCTCATGGGTTTGTCTAAATGCTGTTATCTGATTGGTCAGAAGGATTAGTGCCTTATTTATTCTGTGTATTAATAGCAATTCACGGTTATCGTTCTTGACTTCCTTATTTAGAAATCGTCCAGACCTGATACAATCGATGTATCGCTGTATTGTTACACCTCTAATTAAAACTGAGTGTTACACTGTTGGGTATATCTATAATGCAACCTAGTACATTAAGTACATACAACATCACATGATATCAGAGTCTAGACACACCTAATGTCACATGACATTTGACAAGCCCAATCTTATTAAAAAAGTAAATCAGTATCTGAGCTCATCCTAATGGTTGCATCGTCAACATATTACGAATTAATAGGATGATTTTCTCCTATAGTTTGGACTTTCAGTAGCATGGCATTCTCGGCGCTACGTAATGGCGAATACTAGTAGATTCTTATTGGTTAAGAAATTAATAACATCAGGAACTTAAAATTGTTGTTGACAAAGATGAGACAACTTATGCCTCACCTCTGTGCCGTGTGAGAACTTTTGATTGGCAATTTACTACACCAGTTGACATTTGGCCGCATTTCTATCATATGTATATTTCAACAGTGAAGGGAAGCAGTGTAAATTTCAGAAGCAAATTATAGGTAACATCGAGAATGCCACACCTTACTGAAAGTCCAAACTAATCATGTAATGGTCCTACTTCTCAGGTATTTTGATTGTATGATATCCAACATTTTAGAAATCACAAAATTTTATACTAATATTAACATTACATTTGGTGTGCATTCTTTGTAGCACTTTGGGGGGAAAGAAACTTCCGCTAAGTCAAGTACAGTATGCTAAATGTCTTGCACATACAGCAAAACTCAGTTATAACGAAGTCGCTGGAACGTATGAAATTACTTCGTTATATCCGTAATTCGTTATATCCATATATGAAATTCATTGAATTTCTATAGCATGGGATCCAAGATGACTTCGTTATATCCGTGAATTCGCAATATCCGTGTTCGTACTAAACGAGTTTTACTGTATGTTCATAATTAAGAACTTTATGAAATGCACTAAATCAAATCTATACGCTAACTTGCTCAAAAGTCAAATATTATATTTTTATTACACACTTAGTAATAAATACAGGTATTTTGCATATGCAATATGGCTGACGTCACAATAGCCGTATCAGCCGTCAATATCACACCCTTAATATATTAAACCACAAAAACAATACTTGTGATCATACAAAATTTTTGGTGGGTTCATATTCTTGTAATTTTAACTTTTTGAAAATAGATTTAATCTTAATTTACAAATACGTACATGAAATAGATTATTTTCAAATTATGGATCGAGTGCATTGAAATAGAAGTAGAAACAAACCCAAATTGTATGAGACAATAGACCATGTACATGTAGTATGTTAGTTTACTGAGGCCGAAGGCGATTCAAAAGTCAGCCAATTTATTCGTTGTTATTAAATGTTATTGAATTTCCAAATGTTTGACACGTTTGTTCTTGTCTCCAACAAATGTATACACTCGTGATTTAAAGCATAGTGTAATAACACATTATGATTAGTGTTGGCAAATGGGATGATTTTTATTAAGCGGTTACTCGCTTCATCTTCCGATCGAGTACCTGGTTACTCGGATAAATTTTGGTAAAAGCATCAATATCTATTATTTATCTTTTTCTATACTTATCGGTATAGTAATCCGCAAATATACTGTATATGGACATTATATTTACAATACACACATACGATATCATCAAAGATTTACTGTTTTAAAATAAAGAAAATAAGGAAGTCGACACACGGAGAAGACATATAAATATGTCATTGTCACAGACCATTTTACACTTTCCTTTTCGGCCCCCGAAATATGTCGCAATCAAGGAGAATGATTATTTACATACTCCATAATTAATAGTCAGTATGTGGAGTTTCCAGTAAATCGCTGGTTTCCGAATATTTTAAGATTAGGTGATTTAACAGATTTTGAATCAGCTGTTCTTCTGGTAAACTCCAAGCTTATTATGTCTGCGACGGCATCTCGTTAACTTATCAAATGAGGTAATTATAACTAAGGTCTTCAAAAGATATATACCCCAAGCAATCAAAGCTATCAATTATATAAACTGTGAAAACTAATCAAAACAGTTTGATCCACTACAACCATGCACTAGATCAAGTCTAATGGTATCTAAAATTAGGGAAATGTGTAAGTTAGTATACCGGTACATTTATAAATTATTAAACATTTATTTCTATGCCTTTACTATGGAGAATTCATTTTATCCAAGTAACCGAATAGCAGTTTTACTAACCGATACTCACATCGTTCGACAGTTAACCAGTTAACTGAGTACTCGTTGCCAACACTTAGAATTATGATTGTAATTTATCAGCTGTATCAAATGTTTAAAAGTGGAAAAAATATTATTAAACAATATTATTAAACAATAGATACTCAACTATTTACTAAGAAAGTAGTTAAGTGCATTGATATCTAGCATGGTAACATTTACAATGACACATGTTTCAGGCGCGGATCCAGGAATTGAAGTTAGAGGGGGCGCAAAAAATAGGCAAGGGTTCTGGGGGCCGCCTTGAGGCCCCCAGTGGGTCTAGGGCAAAGCCCTGATGGGGTCTCAGGGGGCGAAGCCCCCGGAAGCTCCTGGATTCTAGAGATTTTGTAGGGTAAAAATGAGGTCTACCAAGTAGAAATATATACATTTTTTAGACGAAACTGTGATTTACTTTAACTTTGACAATTTTAGGGTGGCGCGTGCCAGGTGCGCCCCCCCTTTAATCCGCCACTGTGTTTTAAAACGCCCAATTTGATTGGTAAAAAAATGTTAGCAAATCTATGGTTGGTCAACGTGGTCAAGAGGGAAAACCCAAAAATCTCCTGGAACTTTAATTTGAAGTGAACTCACTCTGAGGTACACCCCAAAATGCTCAAGGAAAAGGTGTCTAGTCCAACCAGAGAGCACCTTAACCCCTGATCATTTAATTTCTATGCTTATTGTATAGGAATTGGAACTCAATAGTATTACAAACTTTTACTTTGAGAATAATATTGATAAATTTCTGTATAAAAATGCTTTTACAACATGTATTAAAGATTTGTTCCTACTTTTAAAAAAAATTCCAATACATTCTGAATTTATTTTATGATTTTTTTTTTTTGTTAGAATGTTCAAGGCAACCAGAAGCTTGAGTCCATCCTGAACATAGAGACAACACAGATATTAGCAAAGCTGGATAATATTGCTAGAGGATTAGTTAATGCAACTCAGCAAGGACTAGTGATGGATATGTTCCAGGTTCCACAGCTAGGAGAATGTCAGGAAGAAAAGCCTCATCATTAAAAGTGTTACAGGTGAATTATTTAGGAATTTAAGAAATAAATAGGATAGATAAAGATTCACTAGGGAATGAATTTTTTGTTGGTTCATGATCACATCTATTGAGAAGCCAAAGGGAAAAGTATTGCATGCAGTAAATATTGTTTGGATGTAATCACACTTAATCTTTGTACCGGTATATAAATAACCTTTATCCGTATTGATAAATATTTTGAATTTATTTCAGATAATATAAATCTAAATTCATTACTGTGTCAAATTATATTTTCGTTTCCAATGTCTTTGTTCAAGAGACAATTACAAATAGTCAAATGAATGCACTTTATTTCTCCATCAATATACTGGTTCATTGATAGGCGCTGCTAAAAAAAAATCACGTGCAGGGCGGAACAAATATAGAGACAAGAAGCAGGGCTTGTAGCACGTTTATTGGCGGAATCAATTATATGTAAATATAAAGAATAACTGTCATTTTCAATTTCATGACAATGAACAATCGATCGACTTGCATGATAACTTTATGCATAAATGCCTTCCGCGTTTATGCAAATTATCACGCCAACCAATTGATTGATCACATCATGAAATCGAAAAATAAGACAGTTATTCCTTAAATAACATTTTTATTCATTTATTTAATACATGTTGTATGGATTTTGTCAGCATCTTCAGATGGTGAAATGTCAAGCAATAAGTGCATTCCAAGCCCTCAAGAAATTATCCTCAGGTAGTTTCGATTCAAGTTTGTTCAAATCATGACCCCCGGGATAGGGTGGGGCCAAAATGGCCGATCAAAGTTATATATAGGAATATATAGGTAAAATATTTAAAAAATATCTTCTCAAGAACCACAGGGCCAGGAAAGATGAAACTCGTGTGAAATCATCCTCAGGTAGTGTAGATTCAAGTTTGTTAAGATTATGACCCCCGGGGGTAGGGTGGGGCCAAAATGGCTGATCAAAGTTTTACATAGGACTACTCACTAGATAAGGAAATCTTTTAAAATCGTCTTCTCAAGTACTTCAAAGCCATGATTAGTGATATTTATGTTGAGAAACATCCTCAGGTAGTGTAGAATTAAATTTGTTCAAACCATTATAACGCCTAAGGGTAGGGTGGGGCCACAATGGTGGATCAAAGTTTTACATAGAAAAATAAAGAGAGAAATCCCAAGAACAGAAAAGCTATGTTAAGTCATATTGACATGTAAGCATCCTCATGTATTTAGGATTTAAATTTATTCAAAACATGGCCCTTTGGGGCAAGAAGGGAATCAAATTCAAATTATTATGAAGTTATATATAGGAAGAAAATGTTTTTAAAAAATCTTTTTATCAAGAACAGTAAAGTCATATGCAGTGTTTATATGAAGGCATTGTCAAGTAGTATTAATTCAAGCCCCCCCCCCCCCTTTCAGTTAAATTTTCCTGATCTGATTTGTGCTTTTTCCTAGCCGATTTGCTCAGGTGAGCGATGTGGCCCCTGGGCCTCTTGTTTGAAATTACTGGGATCAAAGCTGTTGATTATTGCTCAAAAGTTTATCATATACTTACACGTTTTATTCTGGTTGAAATGTTTGTAATTTTACAATTAAGTTGCAATTTTTTCAGAGGCACTAAAGGAAACTGATGGCATTGTTTTTGTGTGGGTGATGAGAATAAGAGTGAGGAGGAGATAGATGACAGTCAAGACAATCAGGATGTCCATACTGTCACTCCAGGTACTGTATACACACTGCATTACCCATTTTAAGCAATAAGTTTCTTAATTTGAAATTATATGCAGAAACCGGGCATGGCCAGCCAGTCTACATGCATGGAAAATTTTCTAAAGACTTGATATTGAGTATTACCAGTAGAGCTTCAGTCTAAAATGCAAACAGGTGGTTCTCTTCAAGAATAGGCCAGAGTATAGTTCAGACACAAGTTATTTGCATTGATTGAACTATACCAATTTCAGAGTCATAACATTTCACAAATATGTCTTCTGAATGGAGATGGAGGAGCTAGCTGAGATTAAATTCCTAATCAACAAAATATTTTACTGGATGTGAATTTATATACTGTGAAATCACTTATTTCCGTGGGGGTTTAATTTTCGTAGTTTTCGTGGTACGAAGAGACCCACGAATTCATGTCTACCACGAAATGTAAATTTTCATATGCATAACTACTAAAAAGTCCATCATCAACGAAATCAAATCCCCATAAACCAACATTTTCTCCTTCAACCACGAAAATTTGACCCCACGAAAATATGTGATTTTACAGTAGCAAAGCTTTCAAGTACACAGACCATTCAAATAAAGAAAGTACCTATGTATCACAAATATACTAGTAAACAATCATTCTCCTGCCAGATTATATTTTAGATGAAAAAAAAATGCTTTAACTCTTATAGCTATTTTTATTTTTTATTTTTTTTTGTACAGACCGTACCACCAACCAAGGAAAATTATATACTGAAAATATCATTTTAGGGAAGAAGTCATTTCTGATCCTAGATCTACTGTGGAAGATTCTACATGCAAGTGACAAGAGATACAAAAAAATCCCAAGGACATCATGAGAAATGAATTTAATCAACAGACATTGTGGAAAAGATTTTCTAAAATATTGTAATAGGACCTTAGAGAAGTGTAAAACACCAAGGATATAATCTTGTTAAAAACAGAGAAAATCTTGATTAACATTCTACTTTCAATTGATATACTTTAAGAAATATGATAAACACTGTGTTTTAGAGCCACAGTAATGGAGGACATTGAATTCTTTGCAGCAGTTTTATCATTAGGCCATTCCAATTTCTTTCTGTTTTTAGTGTCTGCGGATGGATTGGTTTTGAGGTCATGCAATTAAGAACAAACACAAAATAAAATTGACAAATACAAATCTTTGACAAGCAATTTACTCTTCTGGGATCAGCATCTCTCTTTTTTAAAAGTGATGTGCCCAAGTTTTTTTTTTTGTTTCATTAAACTAGTAGTAGTAGCAGTTTAATTTAGTTATAATACGAGGAAAATTCTCAAATGATGCTAAAGGAGTTCTAGAACTTTGCGTAAAATGTTGTTTTTCCCCTTTTGGTTTGTTATTTTTAGCTCACCTCAACGAAGTTGGGGGAGCTTATGTAATACCCTCGGCGTCGGCGTCGATGTCGGTGTCAGCGTTGGCGTCCCAGGTTAAGTTTTTTGGAGCAGTTTTCTTTTTAACTACTTCTATGTCCTATATGGATTAGACATGCATGGAGGATGGTTCTAGTGTGTTTCATTGCACCATTCAAAGTTTCAGATGCTGCAATTTCAGCAAAGGAATGACCAGGTTAATGTTTTTGGAGCAGGTTAACATTTTTGGTGCAGTTTTTGGTGTAGGTTTCATTTCCAAGTAACTATAAGCCCTATGTTGACCAAACTTGCATGGATGATACATCTAAGGATGCATACTATCGGGCTTGCTTCGGATGCTGAATCTGACCTACATTTTCCGGTTGAGTGAACAGGTTAAAGTTTTTGGTGCAGGTTTCATTTCCAAGTATCTATAAGTCCTATGTTGACCAAACTTGCATGGATGATACATCTAATGATGCATACTATTGGTCTTGCTT